TTCTATTTCCATTAATGCAAATATTAAAAACAATATTACTCCTCATATACACTGTTATCACAATCTAAAAGAAACACTAGTTAACTAAACCTAGAATATAGTACCCAAAGATAATAAAGGGAGCTCTAGGTAACAATTTGAATAATACTAATAAATTCTATTTAGCATCCAAATATCATCAATTATTTCATTCCGTTACATCGCAGGCAAGTCCCAGGGCTACCTGCCCCAGGGTACCAGCAATGTGTCAGCCACAGGAAGGCACATCGGTTACTTGGGAGCTCAAGCTCGACGGATCTTTGTCGACAACATCCTGAAGAGGGTCACCAACACTCTAGCAGCTGACTTAAGAAGACGTGCAGCCAGCAGACTGGTGTTCGGTGACTCTGCTCCCTTCTTTGCCTTGGTCGGTGTGTCTCTGGCATCTGGTACTGGAATATTGACAAAGGATGACGAACTTGAGGGTGTCTGCTGGGAAATTCGAGTAAGTTTCTTTGTATATTCTCTTACAAACTTCTTTATTTCTAACTGCGTCTATCAATAACAGGAAGCAGTGTCAAAGTTGCAATGGAACACTCCCCAAAACGATAAGAATTACGAAATTATCAAGGACGACGAGAAGTCTGTCTCTCTGGCGGATTTCGTGATTGGTCCTGCCATCGCTAAAGGTTGTTCAGCTGTCGTCTATGCCACAAAGTTCAAAAATCCAAATGCAGACGATCCTCGGATCACAATCGATAAAGAAACCACAGATGTAACCGCATTTCCATTGGCCTTGAAAATGATGTTTAATTACGACGCCGAATCTAACGCCCTGTCCATTTTGAGAGCCATGTATCGCGAGACTGTACCAGCTAGGAAACATATTAATAACGAAGAATTATCCGAGTGGGAAGCCAAGATGGAGGAGAAGAAAGCAAAACTGCCTCCACACCCAAACATCGTAGCAATCTATTATGCCTTCGCAGACCAAATACCAGCATTACCTGGTTCGCTGGGAATGTACCCAGATGCTCTTCCTGCTCGCATCAATCCTCAAGGATCCGGACGAAACATGAGCCTGTTCCTTCTCATGAAAAGGTACTGTCTTACTATCAAAGTAAAATTATCAAGTAATACAAGTTTGCGAGTAACAGCAAACAACTTTTACAACGACAGGTAACAGAACTCTTCTCTTTGCTACAGGTATGACATTACATTGCAGCAGTACTTGAGAGACCGTAACACGAATATCAGAGAATCGATACTGCTGCTCGCTCAGTTACTGGAAGGTGTGGCTCATATGAATGCTCATGGTATCGTGCACAGGTAAGTTGATACCCTTTGTTTGAATCAAACCTGTATCACCCAGCGTTGAATGGTGTTATACTATCATGTGCTATCATGTGCAGATTTTTATGTTGTTACCTATGTTTTTCTTCTTATTGGACGAACTAGAGATCTGAAGAGTGACAATATTCTGCTAGACTTGTCCGAAGAAACAGATAACTGTCCATCGTTGGTGATCACGGATTTCGGATGTTGCCTAGCTGATAAAGGTCACGGTTTGTACCTGCCTTACAACAGTCATGATACAGACAGAGGAGGGAATATTGCCCTGATGGCACCGGAAGTCATCACAGCGGAACCTGGACCCTTCACTAGCATCAATTACACTAAAGCTGATCTTTGGACAGTGGGAACTATAGCGTATGAGATATTTGGTATGAAGAATCCGTTTTACAACGTCAACAAGGAGAAGTCGTCTTTAAAGAATTATAACTACAAGGAGAACGATCTTCCGCCCCTACCCAGTGTCGTACCAACAATCGTTGTCGCGTTGATTAGGAATATATTGTCTCGAAGCTTGTACAAGGTACTATAGAGGTTATAGTATATGTAGAGGTTATAGTATTTTTGGCTTGGTTATTCTTGAAGTTTTAAGTTAATGTAAGAATTGGTAATTTCAGAGACTCGATACTGAAACTGCAGCAACTGTTATACAGTTGCATCTGTGGGCCCCTAGTGCTTGGTTCAGGAGCGAAGGAAAACTTCCCTCAAGTAACGAGGTATTTTATTAAAATTTGTTTGCTATTATGTGTTGAGGGAGTTCTGTGGATCTATTTCATGGAGGATTTTAACTAACATTTCATTTGAGAGTGTTCTTTGATTAGGTATGAATCGTAGGATATTTTCACTTATGTTGAACATTTTTAATGAGAATTTAATTTTAATTTTAATTTAATTTTTAACAGATTTTCACCATGAATTTTTTTAATTTATACTGAAAATTCAATCTTAATAGTTGCTGAAACTTTGATACGTTATAACAACCGAAATTATAAATTGTTTGAAGAATAATATAATTATAAATATAAAAATATGATATATAAGATATAATTCATTAAAATCTGAAACTGAACTTTCAACGCACAATTTTCTATCGAACAAAATTATTTGTTATCACTAGACTGCGAATCTTTATGCATTTATGGGAAATTTGAATGTGCAAGAAACTACAAAATGCAAACAATATGCAAGAATATAAAAAAGATTGAAAACATTTAAGATAGCGTTACAAAAATATTTTAAGTAGGGAACGTAGCTTCATATTTACTGGACTGCGCAAGGAAATAATTAAGATAAAAATTAGACATTTTTAAGACTTCTTCCTATTATTATAAGTAGACTGCGAATTTTTATGCATTTATAGGGAATTTGAATGTACAAGAAACTACAAAATGCAAACAATATGCGAGAATATAAAAAAGATTGAAAGTAAAGTTCATGTTATAATATTTACAGAATAAGATAAATTCGTATTTAGGTTAAATTTTTGTAGGTATGTAAATTGTATTTTGCATAAAGATCCACAGTCTAGTTATCACCAAATATCCATTAAAAGACCCTGTAAGTTTCACGAAGATCCGTTTCATACATCATTTTTAAAAAATTCTAAAGATACAGTAGATGTAGAATGTATTCGTACACCAATCAATTTCCCAAAAAATTTTTGTGTGAAATTGTAGTTTTCTTAATTTCATTTTTTACAATCAATGATATTTTACATATTTTCGGAAGTCTCTAAGATAGATATAGTCCAGACAACATTTACTAGTTAATATAATTTGTGAAATTAACAAAAAAGATGGGAAAAGTGGGTAAAAGTATAGAAACAATAAGTATTTGTACGATTCTTATGACGAACCATTTACAGTAGAGTTTGTAACATAAACACATTAGTTTATTGCTCTGTAGGAATTAGAAGACATCAAATTTCTAGTAAAGTACTTTTAAAAAATGGCTCTAATAAAGGAATCGAAGAAGATTCCACTTCGAATAACTAGTAATTTAGTCAATTTAATGCTTCGAAGAGTTGCAATAATTGTAAAATCAAAAGGAAATCCCTACGAAGGAAGTATTATATACTTATAATATTATATAATATAATATATACATATTCTTTTTGTTTTAATGAAGTTCTGAAAACTAAAGAGTTGTGCGAGTACTTATTGCTTCAACATTTCTATCGATTGGTTTTTTTTTGTTAATTTAGAAACTTACATAAATAGCCATGAAGAGTGTCATTGTTTATAAGAAATAAGTTAATAAATTAGAATTTTTGAATTCTTCTAGATATGCGTGTCCTCTTGAACTCAATATTCACAATATCTCTTCTTTCGTTAACAGGTGATGCAATGGCTACTGTGCTTAACAACGAAAGTCCTCTGCGAAGGACGCAATTCGTCTCCACCGTCTGATACGATCTACAATATAAACCTTGAAGATGGAAAGAACTCTTATCACCGATCCATATCCACCAGGTCCTGTGGAAGACGTACCATGCCAGAATATCAACTGATAGCGAGCTTCCTCGGAAGAGTCACGCTTAGCAACGTTAGAAATGCTTTAAAGTGGATGCAAAAGAATGTATAATTTTCTAGTAAACGTTTATAAAGTTGTCGCTAAAAAACAAAAGAGTAACAACGAAAGTATTTGTTTTCCGCATATCGAGGAACGGAGGCTGTACTTATGGTTGTCTGTCGACGTGAAACAAAGATTGTTAACATATTTTTATACAACCGGTTTTACCAAATTATCGTTAACGTTCCTGAGTTGCTTTTTAGTTAATTTATTTTTGATACACCAACAGATACAAGTATAAAATTAAATACGACGTTTAATTGAAATTATTTTGTATCGCATTCTAATTCAACGATGCTTGAAAGTATTGCAAGAGTATTTATTTTCTCTATTTTAACATTTTGTTTATTTTACAATGATCGCATGTAAAGTTGTTATTTTAATTGCACGGAGGACGATCTTTCTCGTTTGCAAAGATGGCTCGCTCCGTGGTTAAATTTCGATGTAACACTTATTATTTCGAGGCTATGAGTCAACCACGCAACAAATGTAAATATTATCGCCAACAGGAGTTGAATTCGAGTTACTGTATAAAGGCTGTTCAATAAAAAAGCTTGTAAATAACGTCGACGAAATTTGTACCGTCAAACGGTCTGTCTGGGCTTTCCAGACGTTTGCATTTTCAGCTTCATCTCCTCCAAGTTGAGATTCTTTGACGCCGCTAGGTCTCTCAAGTACTCCAAGTATTCATCGTACGACAGAGCTCTCTTTCGAAACTTGAAAAATGCGAGTCCCGTGTCGGTTGTTGTCAGCGTAACCATGTCGAGTATACGCGCAGATATTAGCCACTTGTCGCTCTGCGATAGCGGTAACAGTTGCAAGTTTTCACTGGAAGATATTGGATCCATCTTGCAATATGCTGTCGCATTAATAAACACAAAAAATTGATCAAGAATCGTTAGAAATTCTTATGTACGTTTAGGTACGTTGATACTGTATTTAATTTACAATGGAACATCTCTTTGAATGAAATGATCTCTGCTTCTCTTTTAGGAAGTAAATCCATTTAGGAGAAAATGCACTGATCCGCTGAGAAAGTAGCTATGTATAAACATTTGAAGAGCTTAATGTTAGAGTTTGTGTGTCTAGTACGTAAGTACTTCATTTAATGTACAACGGAGCTTCTCTTCAATTGAAATAACCTCTTCTCTTTCTTTTCAGGAAGTAAATCCATCATTTAAGAAAATAATATCTGAATAATAATTATAATAATTTCAAAATTGATGAATTCCATTATGAAGTGCAGTCAAAATTGTGACGACACAGCCTTGATTAATGAAATTGAGAGTACGAAGCCTCCTTTCTTCCATCAAGTTTCCAGTCACAATTTCTTCAAATGCTTCTGTGTAGAAACTTGCACCTCAAAACGGAGACTTGACATGCGTGGAAGTATTGTACATCAGAAAATCGAGTTAGCTGCTCCGAACCAACTACCTTTTACATATACTTAACCCTTTGCACTCGAGAGGTGACTCTCCGCTAGGTTTTCTTTAGGTTTAGTTTCTTTGGAACTCGAAGTGCCAATAAAATGATTGTCATTGAGGCAAAAGTGACCCGATTCAATAAAGTCAATATAATCTCAACATTCATGGCAATCGAATACCAAGAAAGCATCTCGAGTTGCTGACCGATACCAGAAAAAAAGGCCTCGAGTGCAAAGGATTAATGTTAATAATTATAAATAATTACAAGAGTGCATGTACATAAGAAAATCGAGTTAATACATGCTCTGATCTACCTTTACCTTCTACATATATTTAATATTAACAATTATAAATAATTACAAGAATGTACATAAGAAAATCGAGTTAATATATGCTCTGAACTAGCTTTACCTTTAAATATATCCAACGCTACATTTTTCTCGAATAATTACAGGAGATTGCTCGAGGACGTGGACATCCCTGCTCTGTTACTATTCCTCAAAAGGCACCAAGACGTTGTCCACGTTAATTTATCAAGCAACAAAATCTCCGATAACGGTTTCATAAATTTGCTCGATCACATGCTCGTAAGATACACTCAATAATTATTATACTACCTCTACATTAAGAACCTGTTTACACGTGTCAGGTGCACAAGAACGTACTAGAGTTGGACGTCCAAAACAATGACATAACGCAAAAAGGGATCGAGTATATGGTGAAAGTAGGGGAAGGCGTCGAAATCGAGAGTCTGAATTTAATGGGAAATAAATTTGGCGACGAGGTTACTCGTTTTATTATTTAATCCATTTAAATGTATCAAGTAAATCCTGATTAAGCGATTTTTGCAGGGGTCGAAATGTCTAGCGCTATTTTTATTAAAAAATGAATGTATACGTCGCTTAAACGTCGCACAAGTGGACCAGACGGCTTCCAGTTTAATATATTTTATTGGAGTCTTGAGCCCAGAAGAAGAGATTTCTAATACGACTCTGAAATGTCTGGACATTAGTCGACCGAATCCAGGATGCATGTATTACTTCGATTCTGCTCATTTTTCCAGTGTCATCGGACACATGCTTAAAGTAATCATGTTTAAGTGATTAGTTATTAGTGAAAGTAAGTTATTAGATTTTGTTTTTATAGGGTAACACCAGCCTGGCAGCGTTGCATCTGCAAAAGTACAACTTCGATTGCCACGATATAGAAAACTTGGTGTCGAATGCAAAATATAACAATACGTTGCAGTTGTTGGACCTTGGCTGTAACAACATAGGAGATCATGGGGTAGCTCACCTTGCTAGTTGGCTGGCTAGTAGACCGGCTTTGAAAGTCCTTATTTTGTGTAGGAATATTGCAACCGATCATGGCGCAAGGTATTACAATTTTTAACACGTTGATTGCCACATATTGTCTGAACATTTCTATGAAAATCAAAGTTTGTTTCAAAACAATTGAAACCTACCCAGATTTGTTTTCTTCAATATCTCACCTTCAAAATTATGTTATTTAGTTTCATAGTAAAAAAATCCTGTCAAGTAATACTAATAATACTATCCGAACCCTGAAATTAAGATAGGAAGTGACCAAACAGCGATTGCTTTCAGGGAGCTAAGCTTTTCTCTTCCGTTTTCAAAGCTCTTATCGCTGGACATCTCGTACAACAAGATCACAGATGATGGGATGGTTGATATATTGAACACGTTGAAAAAGAGTCCTCTTCTCCGACAGCTGAAGATGTTTGGGAATTGCCTTGGTCACCCAACTGCGAAGGTATTTGCACAGTAATATACATAATTACATATACAAAGTTTACATTTCAGGATCATTCGTAGATTGTTAAGCGAATGCTGATGTCTCAAGTACTTAATCAAGAGAACATCGATGTTAGACCATACAGAGTTGATCACAGATGGTATATCGCGAGATATGAAGGTGGCCACTGTCGAGACAAATTTTACGACGTTTCTTACGGCCTCTTCACACGATTACCTTCTGGTCCAGTAAAGAAGACTCGTTCAAAGAAGACGTACAATAAATACACATATCTGGAGACTAGTGAAGTGCACGTGCAACATGTATGTTATACGTTGAATAGTTTTTCATTTATTATTATCCTTGAATGGTGTAGTGAAAATGAATATTAATAAATTCAAATTCTGCTGCGAAACGTTTTCTTTCAGTCAACCATCACCATCGTCTCCCATGCATTCCACAAAGATCTTCGAAAGGATTGCAAATGTTGTTATTGCTTCAAATGCAACGGTAATGAAACTGTGTCTCTTAATGAGTCTTATCATACTAGTTATTGTATGATTATACTATCTTGGTTATACTATACTACAATTATACTACAGTTTATACTATATTATAGTTATAGTACAATTATACTACATGTATTTCGATAAGACTGCTTCACATTAAATTTCCCAGCTCTTCAATACGACGAGTCGTGCAAAGACGACGAGCACTTGCAGGATTGTAACTGCTGCAAGTGCAAGGGAGACGAGAGCAGCGATTGGTCCGCAGACAAATCGGTTGTGGATAGAGTTGTACCTACGCGTGACCCGATGAATAATATCGCCTACATTCTGAAGCGCGTGAATTCCGACACTCGCCAGAAGATTGTACGCTGGATCAACATTAACGAAGATACTTTGAGAGAAGATTTAAAAGCTATCGCAGGTACATATAGTTAATTATTTAGAATGCTATGCGTACTCTAAACTTAGGTCACAAACAATTGATGCACTACCTTCCATTTAAAAAATTGAAGATCGAGACAAGCTCGAGGAAAGCTCGTCGTGCAATTGTTCCTGGGCTCAGCTGAGCATAACTAGTTTACAGAAGCGTTTAGAGAATTCTGATTCGAATGATATACTAATTTTACCTAGAAGCAACTCTATGTTAATGAAAATTGCACGTGGAGGCAGGACTATATCATAAGAACATGATTTTTCAAAGTAAAAGGAGGTAAGAGGTACAATTATTTATTAAAACCATTTTATTGATCGCTGTGGATAATAAAGGTACTTTCATAAATATACAAACGTTTTTACATTTTTAGCTGAATTCAAGATATATAAAAGTAAAAAAGTATACTGAATTCACATTCTAATTTATATTCGACTTTACATTCTAATTCACATGTCTATTAAATTCATCGCTGCTCCAGGTTCCTCCTGCTCAGTCTCTTTGTTACTCCTTGTGTCGCGACGTCCGTCTATCAAGAAAGCTTGACCCTGTTGTCCAGCCTCTTCTACATCCTCCGGTGTCAGTTGATTTCCATCGATCTCCCTCTGTACCTTGTTAGACTGTACAAGATTGCTAATGTCAGAGTCTGGACTGTTGAAAGCGTTCTCCTGGTTCCTCAAAGAATACTGTGCAGGTGTAGGCGAGTTTACGTTGTTGCGGTAGGCGTTGATCGAGAGTCCTCCAGGTCCATACATCACGTCCACCATGGGACGATAAGGATGACTCGAAATCACATCAGACTTTTGAATCACAGTGTTCTCGATGGTTGTTGGGTAGATCTTTGAGTGTTGGTGAATGTGATGGGTTCGTGGTTCTAGCCCAGCCATCTGCATCTGCGAAAACAATAACAAATTAAACATAAAGCAGTATTTAACATGATAAGTAAATATGTTAAGGTGGTCCTTGTTTTAATGATTTTTAAAATCTTGCAAATACGTACAACAAAATTCTTGCACAATTTGAGCTTTCAATTTTAACATTAACACTTGCCCAAAACCTTCAAAGGTTTTAAATGGAAAATCCAAGGAATACTTTCAATCGGTTACTTTTAATTTTCTAACTCTGGTGAAAATTGATGGAATAATTTGAAACTGGGTAGAGATGTTACTTATAATAACAGGAACAAGCTCTAAAAATTTCAAATTTTAATCTTCATTATTTCCTGGTGTATCAGCCTTGTAAATATGAAACTATTTGAGGTTACGCTTCATGAAACTTTTTCTATTGGTTACTACCTATTTTGTAACTCAAATGAAAATTGATGAAAGGATTTGAAACTAGGTAGAGTTGTTACTTATAATAATAGGAACAAGTCCTAAAAATTTCAAATTTTAATATCATTATAAGTAATAACTCTACCAAATTTCAAATCATTTCATCAATTCTTACCAGAATTATAAAAAAAAAACTAACCGATTCAAAGCAATCCTCATATTTTCCATTTAAAATTAATAGATTTCAGAAATAATTAAAATAAGGACTACCCTAAAATACATAGCCGACATAATGTGTCTGTTCAATCAATTAGCCAACCAAAGATTAATTAATTTTCACTCACGTTGGGCACCATAACTGGAGTTCTAGCAATTGGTGTCGAATAAGCCTGAACTGGAACCATCTGCATGGCCATAGACTCCAAGCTAGGATTGTCCACCATTCTGTTCCTCTGGCAGTTGCAAGGGCTCTGACCATTATACAAGGAGTAGTCGTAAGGAGATATCGAAGCTGGTGGAACTTGAAAGGCGCTGGCTAGCTGAGCTAATCGAGCTTGATCAATCTCAGGAACCACTACTATAGGATTCGAGGGGATTGTGATTATATGGTCGTGGCACGCAGGAGCGACTGGCAGTACAGCCAGGGATTCTTGCGGTTCAGGCAAGGGCTGTGGAAGCACAGGAGTAGTATTCTCCGTTAAAGCTGAATTTGGTTTAGCCTGTGGTTTTGGCTTCGAACTAGGTGGAATGGCATTAATCTTGGAACCTGATTGGATCATGTTCGCAGATAGGATGGGTTGGTGGCAAGGCTGGACAGCAGGTTGCACGAACTGCAAGGTATTAATAGGCTGTACTACGGACTGAGGCATGAGTATACTCGCCTGAGGTATCATTTTAACAGGTGGAAGCATGTTCACAGTTTGGATTTGCTGAGGAATAGGGTTCGCTTGAATGGCCAGTGGGATATTGGGAACTAGAGCTTGGTTCCCATTGCAAGAAACCTGTTGTGGCTGAGACAACGATGGATTTATCTCAACGCAGATGGCTGACTTCTTGGACCGATCCTTGTCCTCTGCCTCGACATTTTCTTCAATTTTAGGAGCTGTTTCCTTAGTCTCCACTTTGGTATCTTGCTCCAGCGACTTCACCTGGGATATCTTCGGTACTGGACTAGCCAAGGCAACAGCCAGCAACACGGTCACGAAGCACGCGTTGAGACGCATTGTCGTTCGTGTAGATTTCGCGACTTCCAAAAGACGAATTGACCATCCGACGATCGAATTTCGTTTTTATACGGATTTCTGGGCGCGTACATTCTTTCCACGCGGCCACGTTTTGCAACTCGATGCGTGGATATGCCTGAAACGATTTTTCGCTGATCGCGAATTTCGCAAGTGGTAGATCACGAAGCTACTTTTGGGTCTAAAGTGAACTGCGTGCTGTAAAATATTACGTTAATCTAAGAGGCGTGAATCTGTGCAGTTGTATTGTATTATATATGCATCGTACACATTAAAATATTTTACAAATGGCTTGGAAGTTGTCTTTCCTGATATTATTTAGGAAAATGGTTTTATTTTTGTTGAATCTTTGTCTTTTCTTAAGTTTGGATTACCAATTTAGATTAGATTTATCATTTGAATTATTTAGAAATTATCATAAATACACAGCGAAGAGCATAAATGTACCACTAATCACAGCTTCGTATAATTAATTTTCAATTTTCATTAACATTTAGGCATACAACAAATTTTAGCACTGCGTAATGTAATATGTACAATTTTGTAATGTAATTTTTATGGTTATTGGTACAGTTACGTTCTTCACTTATGTATTTAGTATATCATTAACGAATAAAAAAAAGTAGCAGTTTGAACATTTTTCAGAGTATTATTTAATAAAGATAAAGACTTGAGTGATCGATAGCTGTGCAAGCAAATTTTATCCATTCATTTGATTCCCAAGCCTGATTGTGCAACTCGTCACACATTTTCCAAAGTGTATTCGCCAATGCAATGTGCAGATCTGCATATTTTGCTATGCTGCATCAATTATTGCAAAATGTGCGTAATTTACACTTTACATTTGTTTAATTAATCCTTTGCGAAGGACATATATAAACACCTTCAAGAAATGGGATCACAGAAATGTTTGTATTCGTTAAATCAATTTAAAAAAAATATCAGCTTACAGGGCATGATAAGACGAAACTTTTTTATATTTACAGTTTTTTCATAGGATGCTTAGTTTTGGAAATAAAAATTGAAAAGCGTGAAATACGTTGCAAAAATTGAATCTCAAGTAAAGGAGCTTATAAGTTTTGAATTTTTATCTCTGAAACTAAGCGTCGTATGAATAAACTGTAAATATAAAAAAGTTTCCTTTTGTCATTATCTATAAGGTGATATTTTTTTTAAATTTGATTGCTCGTCTATTGTTTGTTTTCTTTAAGACAACTTTAGATAAGACCACCACGAGATCTCAGGAAAAACGTCTTCTACCTTTTCAATGTTTATTTTGGAAACTAAACGTCCTATAAAAAAAACCGTAAAGAGAAAAAAGTTTCGTCTTATCAACTTCTATAAGGTTATATTTTTTTCAAATTCATCAAATAAGTAATTGTCAACTGACGATGCTGGTGACGATAAGGTGATTTTTTAAAAATTCAGGTTAACAAACGAGTTGAAGAAGGCAGTTCCAATTATCATTTTATTTTATTTCTTTTAGTTTCTTTTATAAATATTTCTAAGAGTAATTTAATAATAATTTCTTTGAAAGTAACATTCATTTTTCGTTTAAGAAATAATGTATATTGAAATAGCTATTTAATGAAGATCTGAACAAGAAGCAGAGTGGCGCAGTGGAAGCGTGCTGGGCCCATAACCCAGAGGTCCGTGGATCGAAACCACGCTCTGCTAAATTCGAAGAAAATTCCCTTCGTATCTTATTTTTTTCTCTTTATTTGCATTTATCTCGCACAAGTGTCGTTTATTAATATTTATTCCAGCAAAAATAATCGTATAAACTATTCCAGTTGTATACACGATACAAATTATTAAGATAAACTTCCAGGACGTAATAAGTACTAAAGACTGCACATGTAAATTTAAATATTAATATATCACGAATTTGTTAACTATTTATGTAATTTTGTAATAATTGTTCGCCATGTAAATAGATAAAATGCCACGTTAAAAAAATAAAAATGTTATTCATACTTATTTATGTGTAATTTAATTCACGTAAACAAAAAGATTGTGTATTTGAAAAATTACTTGTTGTTGAAATAGAACACGTGTAATTTATTCGTGTATAATCAGTTTATCTCTAAAGAAAAGCATAGTGTTCATTATAGAAATGTAACAATTTATTTATCTCGAAAGGAAAGTGTAGTATTTATTGTAAAAATGTATAATATACTATAATTGAATATTAAGAGTATGTATTTGTTATTAAAAATGAGAAAAAAAGAAATCGCCCAACGTGGGGCTCGAACCCACGACCCTGAGATTAAGAGTCTCATGCTCTACCGACTGAGCTAGCCGGGCTTATTGATGGTGGTCTACTTATTAGATATAAATTGTTGCTTGTAAAATATTCCATTAAAGAAACTATGTACACAGAGAGTTTCAAAAGCCCTCAGGATTTGTAATTACGTTCGTTTTTTAAATGTTAATATTAAATAAAATTGAATAAAATTAAAATAATGTTTAACCTCTAAGGGAGTATTCATGTAAAAGTTAGCTACCAGAAATTTAGGAGGCTACGAGTAACTTCCTCAATGAGTGATAAGAGGGATAATTGAATGAATGTAAAGAAGAAACTTAGAAAAACTGTCAAGAGAGATTTATTACAAACATCATCGTTATTGTCGCATTGGCTGGTACAGGTACTAAAGGATAAAAATAATGGTGGTATTTATTTAGTGGACTATTCGAGTCGCAGCCATGAGAACTGTAATAAATTGTAACGGGAGGT